AGAGAAGTTATGCTGGTTTGTAAAGTTCAGTTACCGTGTTCTCCTCTCTATTAAATTTAGCCATGATGAGGTGATGCAAACAGTAGTTTATCTTAATCAAGTGCTGAGATTGCAAAAATGGTTATTTCTGAACTTTTGTCAACTGTGAAATTAGAAAGCCTGACAAGTCTTTTTATTTTTCCATTTAGCTTTATTTTGTGTTTAATTGAAGACAGACGAGTAGTATGAGAATTAATTACTTTTCCCCTTCTGTCCCTTTCTTTGCCTAACTTAGTTGCTACCTGTAATTTACTTGTTACGACATAATCAATTGAACAAGAGTATCTCATCTATGGTAGATTAAGCTTTTAAATGTGGCGCTTTACAAAATTAAAAATGGTATCAAAGTAGATAAAGGTTCTGAGTTCGACTCTTGTCACTTTTTTCTTTTTCACGGGCCTGGCCTACCAAGAGATTTTGGCCTAGACGTGAGATGGCGTGCTATGATGCAATTAAACAAAGAAAAGTGTTACCTCTAATAGCTTAAACTTCTAGATGAGGTGATTCACATTCAGCATGGTATTAGAGGCAGGTAGAGTCTCACTCACACACTCACACCTATCAGAACATACCCAGTGCCTCTCTACCTTCTTAAAGGTAGGGGTAAGGTCTGCGTACACACTACCCTTCCCAGACCCCACTTGTGGGACTACACTGGGTATATTGTTGTTGTTGTTGTTGGTCAATGGAAAAGAACGACCCACAATGAGGGGCATGTTATGATATATATAAATAGAAGTGCTATTTCTCATCGTTAAACTTTTAGATGAGGTGGTTTATACAATTTCTTTGACGACGACAACTACGTCTTAGTCCCAAGCAAGTTGGGGCCAGCTATATGAATCCTCATTAATCACGTTTCTCCATTTGAATTGTCTCATTCCAATATTATGCAAATATAAATAAAAAGTATTTGAAGTACTGTACATTTTTCTAAATGTATAAATCTCATAAAGGCTCAACCTCTCCTAGAAAGCATATTACGTACCGTAAATGTGCTAATGTCTAAAACATACTCTCAACTAATATGCATCTTCTATGTAGATCTATTTCTTCTATTGTGTCCTATCTTTTGCTAAGTTCGTATGGATCCCCAAAAGCAACCACTTGCCGTTAAAAGCAAAATATGCTCAGTTTTTAAAAGATTCTGTTGGCGTTACATATGTATGCTTGGAGGTGCATGTTTGAAATCATCATCATTATTTCCTCAGTTTGGTGGTTTGAGTTTTAATAAAATAATTTCAATATCCGGCAGGAAAATGCTCAGAAAATTGCTGAATTTCTATCTTCCCATCCACGGGTGAAGAAGGTCAACTATGCAGGTCTTCCAGACCATCCGGGGAGATCTTTGCACTTTTCTCAGGTATTTAAACATGTGAATTTTGGGGGAATTTTGAACTGAAGCACTATGGTTGTCAGGTGTCCTGACCTGAAAGCTTCCCTTGAGAGATATATATCTGAAATGTTGATCAACTTACAGGCCAGGGGTGCAGGATCGGTGCTGAGCTTTCTGACAGGTTCTTTGGCGCTCTCTAAGCATGTGGCTGAAGCTACCAAATACTTCAGCATTACTGTCAGTTTCGGTTAGTTTCATCTTATATCAATTACTTCTTTCAATAGTACGATCACTTTTTTCCTATCAAAACATACAATTTCTTAAAGACGTCAGCTTTATGTCTCTTTTCCCTTTGGATAAAAGTATACATGCAAATTGTGTTGGTAAAACAGAAACCATGTTCCATTAGAGGCTGAAAACCTCATCCCAGAAATTGGGTATTCTCTGTTGTGTCTGCTCCTACTGTGTAGAATAGATGGATTAGTGAGAAGTACCAAAACAGTGTTGCCTTTTGACTACCACGTGAAATAATACACCGTAACAATGGGCTAGGTAAAAGTACCAAAACAATGTTCCCGGGTTCGTTTCTCGGAACACCCCCAATTATTTGTTATCAATTATTTTCTTCAAAAAAAAAAAGAAAAAAGAAAAAAGAAAAAAGAATGGGCTAGGCAGAAAGATGGGAACCATGGGTAATATGCCTTTGCACAACAGCAATAAAGGAGACATAATTACCAATAAGAAGCATAGGGAAAGACAAGGAGAAGGTACATTGGACTGCTTGATATCCAACTTGACTCAAGGATTTTTTGCTATCCGTAGAACTCTTCCAATGGAAAGAGAGATAAATGTATGAGAGCTTCAAGAAGAGTGAATTGAATTAGCCGCGGGTGACTGAACTGCAGGGATTTCTATTGTTGAGCTGGGTGAGCTACCTTAACGGCAGCCTGGCATTCCTTATTATTGATAGCAGAGGAAAGAGAACTCTGCCTTCTCAACTAATTAGGTCTTCTGGTTGTCTTTAGGAAAATAAGCTGGGAATCAAAATTCCAGCTTTAATCTGTATAGTCATAATTGTAAATAACTCATGCATGCGAACATCCGCATGGAAAACGAAAATGACTTTGTGCGCTTTTCACACTTGAACCTGCAGTCCACGGGATAATGGTGCAGAGTGACGTCAATGATTCATCAAATTGATGTTGCCTTCATGCTAGAAAAGATCTTTTTGTGTCATTTATAATTCCAGCCTACTTTTATTCATATTTGTCATAATTCCGGGAAAAACAATTCTTCATCAAAAAAATTCCGGGAAAAACAATTTGTTTTTTGTACATTTAACCCACTTGAACTTGCGATTCACAAGACAATGGTACAGAGTGACGCAAATGATTCATCAAATGACCTCTTGTGTTCTTGCTAGTCAAGATCCTTTGCTTCATCTTTAATTCAAAACTATGCGTACATTGATGCCATTTATTATACGGAAAAGGGCCATAAATGCCCCTAAGGTATTGAAAATGGCTCAATTTTGCCCTCCTTCCAGCTATTGCGCCATAATTGCTCTTCACGTTACTTTTTGTCTTAAAAATGCCCTTCACACTAACTGTTGACTTATTGACCATGTGAGGTTTTGTAAAAATAGATATGGCACTATTCTATTGGTTCATATTTAAGGCTAATTTTTCTTAAACCTGTGTCTGCCCTAAATATTTAACCCGCCCCATCAGACATTTATCTTCTTCTCAACAGCTCCAATGTCCAACTATTTCTCCTCCAAATCAACTCGTCGTCTGTATCTCTTTGTTTTTCTCCCAACTCTTTCTCATTAAAGTTTAAACCCATCAATCTCTTTTACCACAATCAACATGTATAGAACAAATCTTTTTGTTCTTTTGCTTGGTTCCTCCCTAGAACTCCAGAAGTTGATTAGTTATAGACTTGGTATATCAGCCATGGCTAAATTCTTGTTATACATAACGCTTACAAATCAACGGATTAATCAAGCTTTCAAATACATCAACTTAGTTCCTGAATAGTAAACAGGTATATTAACAAACAAAAATTCATCCTTTGATAGAACACCACACAAAGCTACAAAAAAAAAAGGAAACTTGAAGCCGAGAACTGATACTTGGAGCAGACCCAAGAAAAAAAAATTCTCAAAACTACAAGTTTTGTATACTTTAATTACACTACAAAACTTATTATTATACCCTCATAAAAATATATTATAAATGGGTTTAGAAAGTGAAGTCTCACTTGACAAATATAAATTAACTAAACTGAAGATAAAGATGAGCTTTGAATAAAGAATTCGAAAGATTGGCTATAGAGGGTTGAATCAGCATACTAATGACATGAAAAATTTTCGACACTTCCTTTAGTGACTTTGCTCTGTTTTTCTTTTTAGTCTACAACTCATATATGGTGCCACCCTTGAAGCTTTAAATTAACCAAGAAAAATTAGCAGGACACTGTAAAAATCCTAATTTTGGTATTCAAATATATTTACAAGTTCGGAAACTATGAAAAATCTGACGAAATTTGTGTCAAGAAAATCCGCAATGAATCAATCTCCCTGCAAGGTATTTGTAAAATTGTCTCAAAGGATAATGTCTTTCTTCTTGGCCTTGCCTGCGTATGGATTGTGGACAATCTGAGGCTGATGCGAAATTTGTGTTAATAATTAACAAGAGATGAAGATTTCTATCTTAGAAATCTGGGTTAAATCTACGGGACGGATCTAATAAAATTATCCTTAAATACAAACCAATAGAATAGTGCCACATGTATTTTAAAAATCTCACTTGGTCAAAAACTCAGCAGTTAGTGTAAAGGGCATTTCTATGACAAAAACTAACGTTAAGGGCATTTATGGCCCAATAGGTGGAAGGAGGACAAAATTGAGCCATTTTCAATACCTTAGGGGCATTTTTGATTCTCGCATTTACATTTTCCTTTGTCACTACTCAAACGTTGTTGTATTGTCCTCAAATTTGCAGGAAGTGTCAAGTCACTTATAAGCTTGCCTTGTTTCATGTCCCATGCGAGCATACCTGTTGAAGTACGAGAGGCTAGAGGTCTTACTGAGGATTTAGTTCGAATTTCTGTTGGGATTGAAGATGTCAATGATTTGATAGATGATTTAGACTATGCTCTCAGGACTGGGCCAGCATAAAAGATTAATTTAAGCTTGTGGAATCAATCCAACCTTAAACTGTACTTTCAATTGTAGTGCCTGTTGCATCAATTCTTCTCATGGATGAATTGCATATTGCAGGTTAGTCAAAATGTCATTGACATCGACCAATCCTGCTACTCGTGTAATCAATTTTGTTACTCTTTGGATTTTTTAAGTTTGATTTTTTGGCCAAAATTAAGAGTTGACAGCTAAAGGTAATGAATTAATGGCATGTTGTTAATCCATTTTGTTGTTTCTACACCTTTGGTTGGCAATTGGTGCAACTCTTGAAGCATACCATCTTTTTCGTCCGAAGTAGATTCTTTAATTTGAGATGGATAGTACGGACATAAAAATTTTCTCAGATGTTTAAGGAGAAACATAATTCATCCTTAGAGAAGATATTACATCAAACCTTTCTTTTGAAAAAAAAAAAGAAACTAAATACAAACATCAGATCTTATTAATCACGACCATATAAACAAAACTTGCAACAACGTTTTATTTTTAGGATTAAGCAGGAGAACCAACTTCCAAGAGCTTTTTGCTTAACTTATTTCCTGCTTATCCCAGAACAACAGGCATGTCAACCATAATGATTAAATAATTATCTTGAAAGTGACCAACTAATGCATTCAAAGGGGTCAAATCATTTTCTCTTTTCACAATCCTATTTACAAAACTTTTCTAAGCAATTGCACCTGCAACAAACAACCATAAAAAAGAGAAAATGTCAACAACGAGCGCGTGTTGGAATTGGTAACTGTAAGTATTTAACAACAAATACAGAACAAATCACAAATTTCTCAGCTATTGACATTAAGCTGGTGTAATCCTGCAAACTATACTTCCGAAATGGATAATTTTAAATTCGGGACAAAATAGTACCATCTGAATGTTCATTCAATCACTGGCAAAATCTTCGAAGCTCAAGCCTTCAGATATAGCATCCAACCTTTTAATGTCTGCTAAAATATGAGGCATTGGTTTAACTACTTGTTTACCAGGTTAATGGAACCAACAGATGCAACACAACTAACCATGATATTCTCTCCGACCTTGTGGATCCAGGAAATTGTTAACATCCGTTGCCAGGTAGGCTGATCCAGAATAGCTCTCCAAAATATCTACAAATAACAGAAATTCAAAGCATTAGAATGTGCATTTGAGACAAATATTAACCCAAAAGAGAGGGCAGGCACAAACCAGAACTGTTAGAAAAGTCAGCTGTTAAGTCTGACAAACTAAAGTTTCGAGGAATCTGCCCCAAGAAACCAAATGAAGATGTATCAGCATCCAATACAGTCTCATTTACTGGTTGTGAATTTGATTCTACACTGCTGAAAGATGAAACAGATGGATCCGTAATTCCAGGATGAGCTTCGAGGATATTTGTCTCGGTACCATACAGGAATGGTAAATTGCCTGAATAACCAGCTTCTGACTTGATCATCTCCCCTCTCACCCCTTGCAGCATTCCCGAATTTGAGCTCTGAGCCAATAGCATGTTTGAGGATGCATCAATTCTTCTTGCATGAGCAGACACATCAGCAGCAGTTTGCATACATGGTTGGAGCGAGGACGCACCGTTAGTATATACATGAGATAAATTGGCATTAACAGTCTGGTGCACATTCTCACGCTTCACATTAGGTCCAGTATGATCTGTTGTTTGACATGTTGAGTTCTGTGGGACTGTAAATGTGTAATAGCCATCAGATAACCTTCATTTACTTATTCAACAATTCACTAATGAAACGGTTGCATAATCAAGCATGAAATTATTTAATATCAGTGTTGCACCACACTTCAGAGAATAACATATTGATAAATATGCAAATTTGTACTACACTTCCTTCTGGCTGAATCCAAACAACATAAGTAGAAAAGCTAATGTAGTACAATCTATGAACTATGGGAAAGCAGGAAGCAGAAGTAAGCAAATAATCAACAAAGAAAATAGGGAACGACGGTTTAACTATTCTAAGAANAAAAAAACAGGAACAGAATACAGAAACACTTCCCTTGGTACATTTAATATCAGAATGGAATTGGTCCTGTCCACATGAGTACACATCAAATTTCAACGGAATACCACATCCATCACTTACAACATCTCCTTTAAACTTCATAGGAGATTATAATGCTGCTGTTGACCATTTTTCGAAAAGAATAAGATGAACCACAGATTTCAACTTTATACACTTTGTGATCTGTTGGTTAGATTTCTTTGTAATCCATAATTAAAAGATTGAAGCTTGAGGACAAGCTACTCATATCTTTGCCGTGTGTGAAGTGAGGGATTAAAGCCACCTTAAGATGCAGTATTGTTAGAATTGAAGAGGAAAAAAAAAAAAACAATGCTCCTTTAAGCAAGAAGCAAAGCACATAAGGTCCACAGTTCAAAATGAAAACTAGATTTAGCATAAATATATAACTGACCCTGATCAAGGCAAACTTGAATTAAAGAGCCTAATTCTTGTTTGTGTAGGTTTTATTAAATGGAGAAAGAAGTATATGCAGAGGTTTATGACATTGCAAATAAATCCTAAGGCATCAAATGAAAACTTATGCTATGGTGAGGAGAAGCCTGCTTTTCATCTCTTGCTTCCACTATTTCTATCAGATTTCTATGTCATTTACGCATCAAAATCCGGCAATCAACTCCATCACATTTCCATACTCAACGAGTACTCAGTCTCAGAACAAGAAGACGTCCTCTTAGAATTTTCCTTTTTTCATTTGTAATATACACGCCCCACAACCATTTGCAAAATTCACATTTTTCTCAGCCATTTTCATGGCTTAAACCTTTCCCATAGATATTCATTCTAAAACTTGCGCACGGCACCTTGCGGCGCTACTTGCACGAGGCCTCGCCGTTCTGTT